GGTTGAGATAAAGACAGTTTAATAGGTGAAGCAAAAGCTGTTTGCACAAGCAAAGCAAAACAAGGCATTCATTCACCACTTCCCATGTGCAGGCAGGTGCTGCTCCCATCTCCAACATGAATAATTGTTACTTGGGAAGACAAACACCCTAAATCTGAAAGTCCCACTCTTCCTCTTCTCCCAGCATGCCATATGTTATGGAATATCCCTGTGTTCACTTGGGTCAGCTGTCCCAGTTATGGCCCCTCCCAACTTCTTGTGCACCCCCAACCCACTCCTTGGTGGGTGGAGTGAGAAACAGAAAAGGTTGACTGTGTGTAAGCCCTGTTCATCAATAACTGAAACATCTTCTACATTATCAACCAGTTTTCAGAACAAATCCAACAACACAGCTCCACAGCAGCTACTGAGAAGAAAATTAACTCTTGCCCAGCCAAAACCAGCACATGCATAAATTAGAGTAACTTTCATTACTGATGGAAAACAAACTGCCTTGACATATGCAATGGYATCTCAAAAACAACAGTTCAACAAYGTGCTGGTCTTTTTCTATTTTTCTGAAAAAATGGTACYTAAAAATATTTTCTTTAGCATCAAATACACACATCTTTTTTAGAATGATCAATAATAATTTGAGACTTTTAAGAAATAGTAATTATGATCTCTTATAAAATGAGAAATTAAAACTTCACTGGGATTTCATCATTCTCTTTGTCATCTTTCACACTAGATTTAGTGTTAGGGTGGGGTAATCTTTGATACAAGAAAGTTTGGCAGTGCATGAAATCAATTATGTCAAGGAGGAAACAATAACCAAACCCCCACACTAGGATACTACAGGCTGAGAAAAGCATTATTCCAAATGCAGGAAAGCATTCAAATCAAGAGTCTCTTAGGGCAGGCAAAAACAGTAGAAAAGATTTTTTTAAAATCTACTTTTACCAGAGTGGCTACAATACCAACTGCACTAAACATTACTCCAACAAGCTTTCTTTTTTGTTGCTGATTTCACAGGTACATTGGGTGCATGACCATTTATCACCACAGCCTCTGCTCTGAAGGTAAGAAAGATTGTTGCAAGAAAGATGAAACTAAAAATAAACATCTGAGTTGGAGCAGAAAAGGAAACGGTTCCCAACAGAAGAGAATCAGTACATGGCTGAAGAACAGACTTAAAAACACACTCATGCAATAATGCACAGGATTTTGCTTTAATTACCTCTGGTCTTCAATTCATCTTCTTCAACTTCTATATCCAAGTCATCAAATACAGCTGCTAATGGGATCTTCAGTGTGGGATTACTGGGTATTTTAAAATCCTTAAAAGCAGAAAAAGAGTATTTACTTCTATTCAACAATTTTCCACTTAATTAAGCTTATGTGTAATTTTACCAAGAAATCTAGAACCAGAAAATGATGTGAATGCATTCTGAAATCTCACTGCACATGAAGTGAGAACACCAAGATTGCACAGGTGAGAAAGTTCACTAGGTACCCCACCGTGTTTCTGGTTTTAGGTCACTGCATGATTTTATAACAGCAGCTGAAGAATCAAATCAAAGCCAGGGATGGCATTTCCTTCCCCTGGATAACAAAGCAGCCAGAACAGAAGAGTAAAGGCAGGAGTCATCACCTAAGCCAGTGTAAGTGTTTTTGATGTGCCACCAGATGGCTCTCTACAGTTAATGAAGACAAACTAAACTATTGAAAGAAAAAGTAGAAATAGAGAAATGAAGTAGTAGACAGGCAGGCATTTATTGCATAACAGGCTCTTTTGTGGGCATACAAACCCTAAACAAATTGTTTCACAGGCTTTTTAAGTTCTGCTGAGTTTTCTGTATATTATACCTGTTTCCTCAGAAGATCAAAACAGGTCAAGAATAATAGAGCAGAAGTTCAGAAGTCTGAACTCAGCTCTCTAGTAAATGACCAGAAATTCCACACAACAGAAATTTTTTTTAAATTCCAATGGTACTATTCCAATTGAGCTACTGGTGTTTTATGAGAAAATGATCAGACTACATTCATATTAAATACTAAACTTTGAAGGGAAAATATTGAAGGTTATTGACAGATTTAATCATCTTTCTGTTGCCCATCTTTCTGTCCAACCTGTGCATCATGGTATCTTTCCTAGTGTTCTGTATCTCAAGCAAAACACGTTTAGAAATACTGTATTTCTAATTGTGAGTGTTTTAATTGAGTTACCTATCATTTTTATGTAACTATATTACATAAAACTTCTCTTTTCAGCTACACACATTATTCCAAACTATTATACTTTAAAAATTGCAGTATAATTCTCTCAACACAACACTCATCTAGGAAACAAAAGATCAGAGTGAACAGTACTGCCCGTAAAGTGCCAAAAATTCTATGAAAATGGAGAGGAATTAATAAAAAGTTCAGCCACAAGAACGAAAGGAAAAGTCAATTTTTCACTTACGAAAAACCACAATATATACTGCAAAGCTACAGCTGCCTTTGTTTCATTGGGTTAAAAAGTACCTGCACACTGTTTTCTTGTGCTTGGTGAGACAATCTTGCATTTGGTAGTGGAGAATGAGATCCAAATTTTCTATCCAGGAACACTTCCTTACTACAGGCATAACACCAAACACGGAGCGTAGTAAGGTTGACAGTTAGACAGTGCTTTGTCTCCTAAAACAGAACAAAAACCACAACTGTGATTCAGAAATTGGGAATAACTAAATACTGCTACATGGAAGCTAGAACAGACATATTAAAATTCTAGGTCTTTCAACAATGAATGGAGTATGTGTGCTAGAATATTAAAAAAGAGCAATGCAGTCATTGAAATTCTAGCACAAACGTTCATTTGTAGTACAAATCACTCAAATTAGCAAATTGAAGTAATAAGAGAATCAAGACAAGGATGTCACTGACAGAGAATGAACAGTTTGTCTACTTTCTCCTACCTGTGAAGTACATAACATTGCTAAGACAGCATGCAAAATAAACTACTGTAAAAAGCCAACAAGTATAAAACTGCAGGCAAGAAATTCAGGGACCATCTGTTCCCCAACCCTCTAGAAACAGCTTATTTCTGAGTCTATTGTAAAGGCTTTAGAACTGTGATTCAACTTTACAGCTGATAAAAGAAACCCTGAAGGTATTGTTATAGATTTATATTAATGCATTATCGATTCATAAAAATACTCACTCTTCTCATGGTCCTGCTTCAAAACAAAACAAAATAACCCGTAATGGTGGTAAAATGCAGTCATAACACCACATACTTCTTGTAAAACCCCCATATATACTATTAGTTCATTTTAATAGTCATATTTTAGTAATTTTAGGGATCAAAAATTGTTCAGTGTGAAACTTTAGATGCATTCACTAACAGATTAACTGTAAACTAATGGCAAGAATTTGATTAGTCTTGAAGTCAGCAACTTAGAAATGACGTTAATAAAGCTGTCACCCCTCTGTCCCCAGAACAGCTTCTCTGATTAATTTTGGCAAGTGCTCCACTTGCACATGGGTGTGCCCAGAACCCAGAGTTTAAGACCCAAACCTATGCACTGAAGCTGTCCAGCCCTGACAGAACGTGGCAGGCTGGGGAGCACAGTGCACACACTCCACGGCTCCTACCGAGCTGGATCCAAGATCAGGACATCGCAGGAAAGCATATGCTCAGCTCTCTACAGAAACAAAGCACCTGTCTCTGGCAATTTACACTTCCTATCTCACACCCCTTCAGCTGTCCATTAATGCAATTTTGCTCCTCTCATCCATCAGGCAGCCACAGTCCCAGAAATTTAGACTGAAATAGTGGACATAGTGGACTACACATAAGCTGAGGTACTCAATAAGTCTTTTGTCTGTGCATCTTGAAAATCATCAATAATTTTTGTTCTTGTTTTTCATTTTCACTGTGCTCTTTAGAAGAATTGCATAACTATGCAGCTGCACAAAAACTGTAATCTCACTCCTAAATTAGCAAAACCTGCTTCTGTAACATAAAACACAATCACAGTAAATCAAAAGTCCATAAAATCAGCTAACATAGGTTACTGACTTCACTGAAATAAAAGTTCTCTAACTCTGTTTCACTGCTTCAAGGAACTCTATTACCAGCAAATACACATACCTGGGAATGGGTGGTACTGTGATCAACATGGGATTCACCACAGCCAACATATGTACATCTGTTCTGTTGGGCAAGATACAAAGGGGAATACAGAATTAAAAAGAGGTCTCAAACAGGTTTACAGAATAGGAATATATTGCCTATTCCCTTTAAAATTCACTCAAATTTCAAACTTGCAGTGTCCTAAACAAACCAAGAGGCATGCATAGTAAGCAATAAAGTAAGTATCACCTAAAGCAAAATAGAATGCTGCAAGATTTAACTCAACTTCTTTCACTGTTGGGCAACATTAGACATTTAATGTTTTTGGAATACAATTTTTGGGCATTTTTATGTATTTATTCATATTACTGTGAACATGTATTTTTTAGAATTCCTGATTTGATGAAGATTGTTATAGAAAATACGAAGTTAGTCCACTGAGTAATGAAATACTGAATGGCAACAGCCTCAGAACATGACATGYWKAKA